CACGCTAAAATCCCATTAAAACCCTGTTGAAATCCCATCAAAATCCCATTAATTCCCTATTAAAAATCACATTAATTCCCCATTAAAATCCCATTAAAATCACGCTAAAATCACGCTAAAATCCCATTAAAACCCTGTTGAAATCCCATTAAAATCCCATTAATTCCCCATTAAAATAACGTTGAAATCCCACAAAAACCCCATGAAAATCCCATGAAAACCCCCGTGAAATTTGGATTTCTGGCCCCAGGAACAGCCTGAACGAGTATTTCAAGGACAGCCGGAACGTGAAGAAGCTGAAGGACCCCAGTAAGACCTGAGGGGGTTTTGGGGCAAATTTGGGCTTTCTTGGAGCTTATTTTTAATTTTTAGGGTTTTTTTGGGGGAGTTTTGAGGGGTTTTTGGTGGGGGTTTTAGGGGAATTTTTGGGTCATTTTGACATTTTTTGGGGCAGATTCTGAGGGTTTTTTGGTGGATTTCTGGGGCAGTTTTAGAGATGTTTCAGGGCTATTTTTGCCCCATTTTGAGGATTTTTGGGGCAGATCTTGAGCAGGTTTTTGTGGATTTCTGTGGATCTCTGGAGCAGTTTCAGGGCTATTTTTGGGTCATTTTGCTGATTTTTGAGGCAGACTCGTAGAGATTTTTCTGGGGATTTTTGTAGATTTCTGGGGCAGTCTCAGGGATACTTTTGTGTTGTTTTGAGTCTTTTTGGGGCTGATTTTGAGGGGGTGTTCTGGGGATTTTTGCGGATTTTTGGGGCGGTTTCAGGGGTACTTTCGGGACATTTTGCTGTTTTTTGAGGCAGATTTTGAGGGATATTTCTGTGCATTTCTGGAGCGGTTTCAGGGCTACCTTTGGGTCATTTTGACATTTTTGAGACAAACTTTGAGCAATTTTTCTTGGGATTTTTTTAACTTTCTGGGGTGGTGTTAGGAATATTTTAGGGATATTTTTGGGTCATTTTGCTGTTTTTTGAGGCGGATTTTGAGAGCTATTTCTGTGGATTTCTGGGCCGGTTTCAGGGCTACCTTTGGGTCATTTTGACATTTTTCGGGACAAACGTTGAGCGATTCTTCTGCGGATTTTTGGACCATTCCGAGTCACTTTTCAGCGCTATCCCACCCCCTTTGACCCCCTTTTCCCCCTCCCAGCCATGCGCTTCAAGCTGCTGAAGCACACGCGGCTGAACGTGGTGGCGTTCCTGAACGAGCTGCCCAAGACGCAGCACGACGTCAACTCCTTCGTGGTGGACATCTGCGCGCAGACGGTGAGGGGGGGCTGCAGGGACCCCCGGGGGCGCCCCGCAGCCCCCTGACCCCCCCTGTGTTCCAGAACACGCTGCTCTGCTTCACCGTGCACGGCCTCTTCAAGGAAGGCGAGTTCTGCTCTTATTCTCCTTTCCTCCCTGCTCTTACTCCTTTGCTTTCCTGGTTTTCTGCCTTTTTTTCCCCTTTTTTCCTCTTTTTTCCTTCATTTTTCCTCCTTTTTCCTTCCTTTTTCCTCTATTTCCCGCCTTTTCCTCCTTTTTCCCTCCTTTTTTCTCTTTTTTCCTCCTTTTTTTCCTCTTTTTTCCTGTTTTTTTCCTCCTATTTCCCTTTTTCCTCCTTTTTCCCTTTTTTTCTCATTTTTCCCTCATGTTCCCCTTTTTCCTCCTTTTTCCTTCCTTTTCCCCCTTTTCCTCTTTTTTGCCCCTTTTTCCTCCTTTTTTCCTCCTTTTCCCCCCCTTTTTCCTCCTTTTTTTCCCTTTTTTCCTCCTTTTCCCTCCTTTTTCTTTTTTTTCCCTTTTTTCCTCCTTTTTCCCTCATTCTTCCCTTTTTGCCTCCTTTTCCCCTCCTTTTTCCCTTTTTTCTCCCTGTTTTCATCATTTTTTCTTCCTTTTTTCCTTTTTCTCTCTTTTTCTTCTTTTTTCCTCCTTTTTTCCTCCCCTTTCCCATATTTTTTCTTCTTTTTTACTTTTTCCCTTTTTTCGTCCTTTTTTCCTTCTTTTTTCTCCCTTTTTCACATCTTTTCCCCCTTTTTTCCCCTTTTTTTCCCTTTTCCCCTCCTTTTCCCCCATTTTCCCTACATTTCCCTCATCGCCCCATTTTTCCCTCAATTTTCCCCCTTTTTTGTCCCTTTTCCCCCCCCTTTTTCCCTATTTTCCCCCCCTTTTTTCTTTTTTTCCCCTTTTTCCCCCATTTTTTCCCCATTTCCTGACCCTGCCGTGTGCCCGCAGTGGACGGGAAGTCGCGGGACTCAGTGCGGGCGTTCACGCGGATGTTCATCGCCGTGCCGGCCGGCAACAGCGGGTGAGGATGGCCCCGAAACCAGGCCTGGGCCTGAAACTGGGCCTGATCCTAAAACTGGGCCAGGGCCTGAAACCGGGCCTGGCCCTGAAACCGGGCCCGGGCCTGAAACCGGGCCTGGGCCTGAAACTGGGCCTGATCCTAAAACCGAGCCTGGGCCTGAAACCGGGCCTGGCCCCGAAACCAAGCCTGGGCCTGAAACCGGGCCTGATCCTAAAACCGGGCCTAGGCCTGAAACCGGGCCTGGGCCTGAAACCGGGCCTGGCCCCGAAACTGGGCCTGATCCTAAAACCAGGCCGGGGCCTGAAACCGGGCCTGGCCCCAAAACCAGGCCTGGGCCTGAAACTGGGCCTGATCCTAAAACTGGGCCTGATCCTAAAACTGGGCCTAGGCCTGAAACCGGGCCTGGGCCTGAAACTGGGCCTGGCCCCGAAACCGGGCCTGGCCCCGAAACCGGGCCTGGGCCTGAAACCGGGCCTGGCCCCGAAACCGGGCCTGGGCCTGAAACCGGGCCTGGCCCCGAAACCGGGCCTGGGCCTGAAACTGGGCCTGGTCCTAAAACTGGACCTGGCCCCAAACCCCATTTTCTCCCATTTCTCCCCGGCAAACCCCATTTTCTTCCCTCAAATTCCAATTTCCACCCCCAAACCCCCATTTGCTCTCCCCCAACCCCCATTTCTACCCCCCAAACCCCATTTTTCCCCATAAAACCCCATTTCACCCCCAAACCCCATTTTCTCTCCCCAAACCCCATTTTTCCACCCCAAATCCCATTTTTCCACCCCAAACCCCGTTTTCCCTCGTTTTCTCCCCCACAAATCCCATTTCCCCTTCCCAAACCCCATTTCCCCCCATTTTTCTCCCCCCCCAAACCCCATTTCCCCCCACCCCCGTGCCAGGCTGTGCATCGTGAACGACGAGCTGTTCGTGCGCGGCGCCAGCCCCGAGGAGCTGCGCAAAGCCTTCGCCCTGCCCGCGCCCACGCCCTCCTCCAGCCCCGTGCCCACCCTGACGGCCGAGCAGCAGGAGATGCTGGCGGCCTTCGCCATGCAGTCGGGCATGAACCTCGAGTGGTCCCAGAAGTGAGTCCAGAATACCCCAAATTCACCCGAAAAAATGGAGAAAAACACCCCAGGACTGCCAAAAAATCCCCTGGAACGTGGGGTAAAAATGGGGCAAAAAATGGTTACAAAATGGCTTAAAAATCTCTTTAAATACGGATCAAAAATTGCTCCAAAATTGGCTCAAAAATCCCTTCAAAAATGGCTCAAAAATACCTTCAAAAATGGCCCCAAAAATTTCTTCCAAAATGACTCCAAAGTGGCTCCAAAATGGCTCAAGAAATGTCTCAAAAATCCCTTCAAAAATGGCTCCAAAAATATTTTTTAAATTCCCTAAAAATCCCTCCAAAACATCTCTGAAATCTTCCAAAAAAATCACCTTGAAAATCCCCCTAAAAATTGCTCAAAAAAAAAAAAAAAAACCAAATCCCCTGAAACTCCTCAAAAGAACCCAAAAATCCCAAAAATCGCTGTGGTCCCTCAGGTGCCTCCAGGACAACGACTGGGACTACGGCCAGGCCGGGCAGGTCTTCACCCAGCTCAAGGTCAGTTTGCCCCATTTGCCCTTTTTTTCCCTCATTTTTTCTCATTTTTCCCCATTTTCCCACATTTCCCCCCCATTTTTTTCCTGCTTTTCCCTGTTTTTTTTCTCTTTTTCTCAATTTTTTTCTGTTTTTTTCCTTTTTTTCCACCATTTTTTCCCATGTCCTCCCCCCCTCATTTTTTTCCTGTTTTCCACATTTTCCTCCCATTTTTCCCAATATTCCCCCCATTTTTCCCATTTTTCCAGTTTTTCACCCATTTCTCCCAATTTTTCCTGGTTTTCCCCTTTTTTCCCGTTTTCCCCATTTCTCACCTGTTTTTTCCCAGCTTCCCCCTGTTGTTTTTCAGTTTCTCACCTGGTTTTCCCCATTTTTTTCCTTTTTTCCCATTTCTCACCAATTTTTCCCCCTTTTCCCGTTTCTTCCTGTTTTATCCCTTTTATCCCCGTTTTTCCTGTTTTTCACCCATTTTTCCCATTTCTCACCCATTTTCCCCTGTTTTTCCAATTTTTCCCATTTGTCACCCGTTCCTCACCCTTTTCCCCTTTCTCACCCATTTCACCCTGTTTTTTTCCCTTTTCTCACCCATTTTTTCCCATTTCTCACTTGTTTCTCACCGTTTTTCCCATTTCTCACACGTTTTCCCCCGTTTTTCCTTTTCTCACCCATTTTTCCCCGTTTTTTTCCCTTTTCTCACCCATTTTTTCCCATTTCTCCCCCATTTTTCCCGTTCTCTGCCCCAGCTGGAAGGGAAGATTCCGGAGGTCGCGTTTCTCAAGTGAACCTTGGAGATCCCCGCCCCCTCCCTGGGCCCCCGTCCCGTGTTCGAGTCCTTTCGATCCCCCCGAGTTTTGTAAATAAACCGATCAATTATTGATTATCGATTAGTGATTAATTAATGACCATTGATTAATCAGCGATAATTGCGCGCGGCGCCTTTAAGGGGGGGCGCTGAGGGCAGGGCGGGAACGTGCCAGCAACAAAGATGGCGGCGAGGGCAGCGCGCGGGCAGCATCTCATTGGTTTGGGCTGGATTCGCTCCACAGCCGATTGGCTCAGCCGCTAGGTGAAACCCGATAGGCTGCGGCTCCTCTTTCGCCGCAGCTGATTGGCTGGCGCGCGGCGTGACCCGGAAGTGCCGGCGGCGCCGCCGTCATGGCGGCGCGGGCGGCGCTGGAGGTGGCGGCGGCGGCGGCGGCGCGGGACGTGGTTCTGTACGAGCACGACCGCAGCCGCTTCTTCCGCCTCGTGGGGCTCTTCTGCGCGGGGCAGGGCCTCTTCTGGGCCTACCTGGCGCACTTCGCCTTCACGGCGCTGCGCCCCGCTCCCGATCCCGATCCCGGTCCCGGTCCTGGTCCTGGTCCCGGTCACGACGACCCGCTGCGACCCCGCGACAACAAGTGGCGCTTTGCGTTCACGGCGTCCTGCCTCACCGTCGGTACCGCGGGAACGGGGTTGGGACGAGCTCGGGGCGACGGGAGCGGAACCGGGAGGGGACCGGGAAGGAACCGGGAGGGAACCGGGAAGGAACCGGGGGGGAGCCGGGGAGGAAGCAGGAGGGAACCGGGAGGGGAACCGGGGGGGAACCGGGAAGGAACCGGGGGGGAGCCGGGGAGGAAGCAGGAGGGAACCGGGGAGGAAGCAGGAGGGAACCGGGGGGGAGCCGGGATGGAACCGGGGGGGAGCCGGGAGGGAACCGGGAGGGAGCCGAGATCACCGCGGGCTCGGAGGAGCGGGAGCGGAGCCACACCGGGCTCGGGCTCGGGGACGGGGACACCCCGGGGTCACTCCCGGCTCGCACCGGGGGCAGGGGAAGGGCTCGGGGGGCGGCACCGGGAGCGAACAGGGGCCGGGCCGGGCTCGGGGCGATGCCGAAGCTCCGGGGCCGTCCCCAGCGCGTTCCCCCCGGTGTCCCCAGGCTCGCTGACGGTGGCGGCGGGCTGGCTGCTGCCGCTGCGCTCGGTGCAGCGGGTGACGCTGCTGCGCGGCGGCGCCGCCGTGGCGCTGAGCACGCCGGGGCCGCTCGGGCTGGGCCGCCGCTCGCTGACGGTGCCGCTCCGGGACGTGTCCGGCCGCGCCCACCGCAGCCAGGCCGCCGCCGCCGTCCCGGTCAAGCTCCGCGGCCGCCCGTTCTTCTTCCTGCTCGACACCGGCGGCATCCGCGAGCCCCGGCTCTTCGACGTCACCGTGGGAGCCTTCCGCGGCTTCTAGCGGCACCGGGAATACCGGGGACACCGGAGGGACACCGGGAATACCGGAGACACCGAGAATACCGGGGATCCCGTGGGGATAACGGGGACACAGCCCTGACATGGCCACGACACCGGGACACCATGAGGACACCGGGGGGACACCACGGGGACATCAAGGACATCGTGGGGACAAGGCCCCAGCACGGGGACACGGACACGACACGGCGGCGGTGGCACCTCCTGTCCCCCGGTGCCCCGGCCTGGGCCCCGCCCGCTCCCCCGTCACCCCCAGAATAAAACCTGGACCCCCCCGGTCTCGGGGGGATTTTGGGGTCACACCGCGATCGTCCCTCTGCGTCACCCCCAACCCACGGGGACACCCTGGGGGTGGCACCCCCGAGACGCGGGACCCCCGCGTGGTCTGGGGGGGGATTTGGGGTCTCCTCTGCCTGGGGGGAATTTGGGGTCCCCCATTCTCTGGGGAAGGGATTTGGGGTCCCACCTGCATTGGGAGGGAGGATCTGTGATCCCCCCTGCTCTGGTGGTGGTGGGGGATTCGGGTCCCCCTTTTTCTGGGGGTTTTTGGGGTCCCGCTCCCCCCACCGAGCGCCTTGAGGGGAACGCGGGACCCCAATAGCGGCGGGGGCGGGGAGAATGCAAATGAGCGGGCGAAATTAACATATTAGAGACGAGAGGCGGGGTTATGCTAATTACCCGTTTGGGAAAGAAGGCGGGTCTAATGCAAATAAACCGGCGCGGGCGGCCAATCACGATGCGATGCGCAAAAAACCGCGATGGGCGGTGCTATGAAGCCACTATGCGATGCTATTTGCATAAAGGGGCGTAACTATGTACATTAATCGAGCCCCCACGCGCGCCGTGCATGCTGGGACGATTTTTTGGGACATTTTCGGGATTTTTGGGGTCGGTGTGTGAGAAGCGCGGGAGGGAAGCGCGGGACGGGGCGGGGAAGGCGGCCGGGAGCGGGGC